GTCAGTTAACACCCGCCTGATGACTGTTTGTGTTTTTATTTACAGACACACATTTACAGACTTGCTACACATGGGGCATTCGCTTCAGTTGATCAATTCGCATCTTTTTTCCCACCCTTTTAATTGTTTTGGACCAGCCGAGCGATTGTGAAAATGGACGAGCGCCTCCATTTGGGTGGCGGTTCTGGCCCGGTAACAGTAGCACAGTGTTCAACCCAAGTGTCTGTGTCAGTGAACTGCACTGATGGAAAGAAAGTTGTTTTTCACGCAGTGGGCGGAAATAGATGGTGACAGTGACACATAAAAGGCAGGGCTGAGGTTTAGAGCTGACGTCATGGCAATCAACATTTAGGAGGACTGGGCCTTTCAGTGAAAGGAAGCCACACAGAGCAGCCCACAAGCATTTCACTAACAGTCTGAGACCGGGTACCGCAAGCTGTACATGAGCGTGCAGACAGGGAACAATAGGGCTCCACAGGCGCGTGGTTATATGTAGTATAAAAGCGTGAAGTTATGAAAGTCTTCGTGCATGCCAGTGCACTGCTTCACCTTTGCAGCTCTGTCAGATTTGGAGCCACATGACTTACTGAATCCCCCAAACTGAGCTCGAAGGCATGAAACTCTATACTCCGTCTCTTTTTTAACATCTCTTTTTAAACTTTCTCTCTCTCACACACACACAGCTCCTGTCACACAGGCAAAAACACATATAGGCACCCTTCACATCCCCGTCTCCCTGCTCCTCCGCCCTTCCTCACACACCCAATATCACTTAAGAGCCAACCACCAGATCCCATTTTTCACCGCAGAGCTGCGGATTAGAAAAGAAGGCATTTCCCAAACGGTCTGCGGCTTATGTGATGACATGATTGTCATTCAGTTTAATTCCCTCCGTTCTTTTTAGATTCCTGCTCCCCTGATTCTGGTGCTACAATAAAGCACAGAAAGTAAATAAGAGTTAAAAAAAAAGAAGAAGAATAAAACACGAGGCTCCTGTAGGGACATGCTTCCTCGAAAGGCATTTTAGATTAAATTGTCAAGATGAAAGACGTATAGAAAATTGTTATGTGCAGCTGGTTTCCAGTCGGAGAAGGCTTTTGTGCATTTTTGTTTATGCAAAACATATCCATAGGCTTATACGTGCATAACTGCTACGTAATTGAAGCTCCTGGTTTTGGGGTATTGCCCAGATTTAACTCCAGTGAAGTCAGAATGAACGCCAGCGAACTCTCCCTCAGCTATAAATTATTCCCATGTTGAACTCGAGGAATGATGTGAGCCTAGCACTGTCTAATGCTTCCAAGGCCGTTCAAAGTCTTGCATAATCTCCGAACATCTCTCCTCTCAGATCTTTACTACATTGATCCATTTAGTGATGTCTCTATAAAGTTGCAGAGCAAGTCTGGGACTCTGAAGGTCCCGCTGGAGGCAAAACAAAGAAGAAAAGTTTGATACACCTGCGTGAAGGTGGCGGGACACGAGGGATGGTGGGTAGGAGGAGAAGAGGAAGCTGTGGGGGCAGAAAAAAGCGTGCGGCTGGAGAGATCAGAGTGATTTTGTTCAGTCCTCCATCTCCTCCTTCACGCTGTCCATCAGTCATTCTCACTGAGGTTGCTTACATTTGCAGATAAAAGTTAGGAAGGTGGGGCCTCGCAGCTGCTTTGTTGTGGGCCTTTGAATTCATCCTCACTGCCTGAGGGATCCACCACTGAGCATATTGCATGTAGGAAATAGTGTGCATGGCATCTGTTGTTGCTTCAAAGAGAGATTCAGGCACAACGTGCACATTACGAGCATAAAACTTTCTTTTTGACAAGAAATCTAGGCGAAAAGCGAACATTCATCAGAATCAGAGGGGGACGCTCTTTTGTCCGTAGATACTACTTTGCAGTTAACTACTACGAAATGTCTTGCTGATATTCATTACACACATACACACACACACACACGGTTCAGGCTCCATTTAAAGGAAAATACAGCCTTGCCTCTGCACTGCTTGATGAGTATCTCCTGGTTTCAAACATCTGTCATGATGGTTTTAAGGCGGGGACTCCAAACTCATTTTATATTGTGGGCCACATGCAGCCCACTTTGATCTTAAGTGACCAGTCAAACTCTTCTTTTTGATACTGTAAAATTTAATCACACATTTAATCCCTGGGATATTTTAACATAAAAAAGCGCAATTTTAACAAAACACCTCAATTTTCTTCATGATAAAGAAATGCTGCTTTGGGCCTAAAATGTAAAAAGAAACATGGGAAATTACAGAAACAGTTCACTTAGCTTATTGCACAAAATGTTTGTCTTTTGTTTTGGAAGGGGGCGATTTACGGTGAATCCACTGTAAATATATACATTTCTATAGTACATAGTGAAAAAACTGGAACTTTCTTTCATTTAACGGTTAATCTTTTAATTATTTACTTTGGTGTAGTATGAATGGACATGGAGGAAGTCTTTATCAATGCGAAAAGCTGACAAACTTGTGAAAATAAAGTTAAAAATCTCAAATGTATGCCCTTCTTCACATTTCCAAAGCCATCCATTGGGCAGGATTGGAGTCTTTGGCAGGCCACTCTGGCCTCAGGGCCTAATGTTTGACACCCCTGCTTTAAGAGTTCTGCTGGGTTTTGCAAATGGGCGACAGCTTCTTCCTCACACTGGAAATTACACAACGAGAGTGGAACATTCAGCTTTTTGCTGTGCAGGATTTGTAATTTGCTGTAATGGCTGACACATGTACGCGCCATCGGCAGGCTTCCGGCTATGGAAATCTCTATCTGTGGTGCACACAGGGATGCGGCGCCAGCACGCACCTGCAGGCACAGCGGTGGGAAATATAGTCTGGACTGCACACATGCATACATAAAAACGTGAGCACACAGAGATAGAGAGGAGCATACAGGCAAACACACCCACAGATTGATATACTGTATTATCCGACCTCAATCCTATATACACAGATGCAGCTCACGACTTGTATATCACATTTGTTTCTTCAACACTGCTGCTGCCTGTTTGTTTCTTTAATCTCACTGTTTATATTTCTGCGTCCAAACCTGCCAGTATAACTCCAGCTAGGGCAATTAGCATGAGGGAAAAGCAAATAAAACGTCTGATGAAAGCAAAGCCCGGATCCTGACCTCACTCTGACTGAATGTGGCACTACAGCCAGCGGACGGTCATTTCCAAAAGCTGTGAATTCCTCGATGCCAAGCTGGCCTCTTTTGCAGTGGATTTACAATGGCTGTTTGTGTGTCAAAACATATCATTATTCTATATTTGCCTGGGTCATGTACGAATCCACAGAGACCTTTGTTTCAGCAGACGGCGGAAACTGCAATCACGGGCTCTGCAATTCTTAACTTTGAAAGCTTTTCCTTAAAGGAAAAGTTAGACACTGCGGGACAGAGCTATTAAGAGACTGTCAAGACTTAGATGAAAAGATTGATACCACTCTCCTATCAGGATGCTAAGAATACTAATAGCAATCAGCTAACTTGGCGCAAAGACTGAAAATGGGAGAGAAATCTGAAAAGTCACAAAATTCACCCAGGATCTACAGAGATCACGTTATGTGTCACTTCTGTAGTTTGCACAGAAACTGTAGAAGTAAAAAGTGTAAAAACACATTTTTTTTGCACTTTGGAGCGAAACATAGAGCGTCTGCTGTTTTTAGCCTCGCACTTCACACCCTACAACCGCTGACACTCTCTTGCCATTTTTGATTTTCTATACACACCAAATACAATATGTTAATAAGCCAGCTCCTTCTGTTACCTTTAAACACAACTGGCAAGATGTTTCACTCATACAGAAATCAAAAGAGCGCATTTTCAAAAATGCCGAACTCTGTTTTCTCTGAGGATGTTAAAGAACGAAGGTGAATGATAATAAAAAGCATAAAATTCTCAATTAGTCGGTGCAGTGCCAAGTGGATTTACTATATCTGTCTGCTCCAGGGCTGAGCGTGTCACAGACAGATTATCTACCCTTTAACCCCCCCCCCAATCCTCTCATCCGTTCAAACAGCCGGTGTGTTAATCAGGTTCAAAGTCTGAATTCATCTCGTTGCCTGAAGAAACTCTATATCTGCTCCAGCTCGGAGTCAGGGGAATGTCCCAGAGCCAATCCTTCCTGCTCACCCCCAAAGATGACACACTCAGTCTCAGATACTGTATTTATGGGAAGAGGGTACAAGAGAGATATAGGTTGCAGGTATCCCCTCCTTATGTTAGGCCTATTATTTTTGGGGGGGAGGTTTGTGCCAAGAGACCATGTGTTGAGCTTCAGAGTGCAAGAAGAGTACAAGAGGTTTTAGATAGACGTCCTCGGGGCTCGTGTTATTCACAAAGCTGACTGGGATGTCTATCATGAGTTCAAAGGGGCGAGGAAGATTTTCTTTGGTGGGGAGTCATCTTACATTTGTAAAACACTGACGTGGGCTCTTTAGAATAAAGTGCTCATCATTTTTTCCCACATTGCTGAGCTAAAGAAGCTAAATCATGTGCCTTACACTTGACTTGACATAAAATGACTAAATTCTTTATTAACTTGTTAAAAAAATCATTTTCCTAATGGTGCTTTAATACGCTACAGTTGTTTTCTTATGATGATACATACTGTAATGATTTATTAAGAATGTTATGCCTCATAAATTTTTAATTATACAGGATAAAAAACCCTTCATCCTATCTGTGCTGGAACGATCTATCTATAAGATGTCACAGCAGGAAAAGGGTGGGGACATGTAAAAGGAAAAAGGGAGGGGTGTAGGGGGTGTAGAAGAAGCAAAGAAACCTTGAATGAGAGCTTCCAGGACCCTAGAGCGCACAGACACAACAAGCTGGAAAGTCTCAGCTAACTGAGTTTTAAAGGACAAACGATTCAAAATGATCAGAGGACATCTTTAGTAGCTCTTTTCTGAATTATGAATGTAACTTCTGACAAGTCCACTGTGCCACTCCACTGCTGAGAGAAGCTCCCCGTGTGATGGATCAGCTTTGCGCAACAGGTTCTCCAAAGAACATTTAAGCTCGAACTCTGATCCATGTAGGGAACAAAAAGAAGCATGCTGTCACCGCTTTGGCCCTTTGGCATCGAGCAGGAGATCAACTCATGGGATGTAGTGGATGCAGATTCAGGGTCAACTTTGGGAAGGCGCTGTCCAAAGTCTCGGTCTTTTTCACCATGGTCCTAATCTTCACCTACTTCTTCTACTGCCTCACCGGATTTTGTGATTCGGCTCCAAGAGCTGCATACAGACAAGAAACTTCAGACTTGGACTATGACATTTTGGACGATCTGCGGCCACCCCGGCGTCTCTTCCCCGATGCGCCGTTTCAGCGGAACCGCACAGGCTCCGAGGACGCTCCGGCTGAGCCGTCACAGAATACGCTGGACAGCGAAAAGGAGACTGTCCAGAGCAACGGCATCCCCGTGTCCAACACTTTCGGGACCAAAAGGTTTCCGCAGGCGATTATAATCGGCGTGAAGAAGGGAGGGACACGCGCCCTGCTGGAGTTTCTCCGCATCCACCCGGACGTGAGAGCGTTCGGCGCGGAGCCGCACTTCTTCGACAGGTTTTACGATAAAGGGCTGGAGTGGTACAGGTAAGGATGAACGCACGAATCCACTCATACAGAATGTGGCTGGCTTTTAGCCCAGGTTTGACCGCAAATCATAAAATGTAAAAACTGTAAATCGTGGACCATCGTAGGCAGTCCAAAACTTTAAAACGACACAGGGTGTCTGCTGTAAAAACCGATGTGCTCTTTATAAGTGAATCCGACGGGTTTATTTGGAAAAAGTTTGAACACGATTGCATATTTGGATGTCATGCGGGCCAATGCAGGATTGTATATGCTGTAAGGGTAAAGGGTCAGCTGAGCAGCACTGATGTTTTTGCTGACATCTTATCACCTGTGCAGATGTGCTGATTTCCTCCGTCAATAGAAGAGACAGCAATGCATTGGCTGGTTGATAGATTCGGATCAGCTTTAGACAATGCTCCCTCTCTTGTGGTGCTCTAGATCAAAAGGGCTAGTGAGGTCCCAGAGGAGCGTTTCATCATCTTGACAGTCATCTAAACACCATTTATTCACTTCAGCATGACATCCAGTATAGTGTTCCCCTTTTTGCTCTGCAACGGAGCCACAAAGAACCCATGCAAACATCACATCGATTACTCTAACATGTAAAATCTAAAGCAAATACCCCATCATATACCATATAAAGCACCTTGGGGTGATTTGGAGCTATATAAATAACATGAAATTGAATTGAATTAGAGAATTTAAAAAAAGCAAAAACACAAAAATCTGATTGACAAGGAGAGCAAACACTGAGTGATGATCTTAGTTAATGTGATCGCACAGTTCCTTTACAAAAGACACATAAAATGCTACTGTCATACTGACAGCACATGATTTGGGGTGGCCAGGCTGACCAGAGCCCTCATTTGGGTGTAGTTAAGGCCCTAAAGAAGGATTTATTTGTCCGTGAAGCTGGTCCTGATCATCTCCATATGTTCTACGAGCTTCTGGACATGATCCCAGCTGAGCAACGTGTGAGAACAAAGTGCCATTTGGGGACCTTTAAGCAAGAAAGGTGTCATAACTACACAGAGGTTTGACAGGGTAAGGATCATGAATAACAGGCACTTTGATAGCAAGATGGTGTAATTTAATCTTCCTTTGCCTTATTTTCTAAACCCCCCTTTGCTGCCTTTTAATAGGGAACATAAGGACACATGGAAACGGTTTCACCACTGATAATTTTAGCATGCCATTAAATTTCCTCTCTCTCACTTTTTCTCTGTGCACACACAAACACTCATATATACCGTATGTATGTTAGCAATCTTAAGTACTATGTTACCTATCCTCTGTCTCTCCATGCCACATTTACAACTCATCCTTCTCCCCAGATTCTTCCTTGTGACTTTCTCCTTCTCTCCTTGCGTCTCTTCTCCTCACTCTCCCTTCAGAATAGCAGAATGTGAAAATACCTGTGGCCAAACTGGTGTTTCCGGGGCATTTTTTTTTATGTGTGTTTTAATTAGGCTGACTTGTGCTGTAAAGCTGTTAGGCCTTAATGGTGTAACACAGCACTGCCACTAACACGGCCTGTAAAAACACGGCCTGTAAAAGGTAGATCAGTCGTGCAGTAATATCGCCTAAACCCAACGACAAATCTAAGTCACCACATGCAACATGAACATTTTTCAAAGTGTAGCCAAGTTAAGAGGTGTAATTACAGTAAAGTGATCACCTGTAAGTGTTTAAGAGATTAAATGGGAGTTCTGCATGGATATAACTGATAATACCTGCATTTGTTCACATTCACAGTATCAGAACGTGAATGTGAATTATGGTTTTGTCTTTTGCTGTGATTTTTTTTAAAGAAGTGAACTTCACTGAAAGTTGAGGCGGAGAAAAGTTGGAAGGATTAATGCAACAATGGAGAGCGACAGCAGCAACATGATACCGGATGAAATCACTGAAAGATGATTCCGCTGTTGTCACTGAATCGCAAAAATTGAGCAAATCTGTTTGCTGTCATCTGCAGTGACCCACAAAGAAGCCGCTGGAAGTTGTAGACAGCAGCATTTTGTGTATGTGTGTATGTGTGTGTGTGCGTGTGTGTGTGTGTGTGAGAGAGAGAGTCAGTGACAGAAAGAACTTATCCATGTGGAACAAGCAAGTCCTCCTCATCTGACTGTCAGTCACAGGGTCAACTCTCTGTCACATCTGGATGTGACACACACACACACACGCACACACTCAATGCAGTGTAAAGCAGGAGTTTAAGACAGGCTCTGAAAACGCAACCCCTGCTTTGACATTTAATCTTTCTGAAGTTCTCTGTCTCATCTCATCTCATAAGATAGAGAACCGATTGCTGTAGATATTCCTCCGGATCATCCATTTAATATTACAACAGCACTTATTTATCCATATCATAGGTGATAAAGTGATGATAAACCGCTTTAATCCTGAATCTTTTCCTTCAGACAAATATGACCTTTGCGTGCTTATATATCTGCCATAATCCCCATGAAAAAAAAAATGGTGCGTTGGAACTGCTGTTGATTATTTTTACAGACGAGTCACGATTTTATAAGTAACAAACAGCCGCTTGCCAAGATACATGGTCACACACTTGCATATCTGAAAGCAATTTGTGCACTGTCATAGTCTGCTCTCTTTCCTGGATGGAGAAATAAGCACAAACCGAAGGCGACTGTAGCAGATGGATGAGGGTTGTAATCTGTCATATTTGAGTCATTGCTGTCAGATGTTGGATGAAACCAGGGGCGATCTGCATGCTGGAGACACTTCATAGATTCAGCAGACAGAAGTACCCTCCCGTGCGTGTTGTTCCAACAGCACTGTCTTCTCGAAGACAAGCTCAGACCTCATGCATGTGTGTTTTCCATTGCTTTTATCTGAGCGATCAAGTCAGTCTCCGCTCTCTTTCCCTCTCCGCCCTGTCTGTCTCTTCATGCCGTTCTCTCGTTTGCATGTGTGCATACGAGCCCATTACGGGAATGGAAAAGCCACAAATAGTGCATTGAAAATAAGGCAAAGATTTAACGGTTTTCTGTGTTGTTTTACGGCTTTAAAGAGACTTCACAGAGTGATGGGTTTCATATGGGACTTAAGAGCCACCGCAGAAAGCTGAAAAACCTCAGCTTTCCATGGCACAATAGTTGTAATTGTCACGGCTTTGTCACAGTGATGAGGCCTGGAGTGAGTAATGATTAAATTCTGTCTGATGACGTCAAAGTGAGCGCATTTATTTCTCATCTTGTAGAAGAACAAACTCTTTTTAGAAAGATTACTTCTTCATTTCTGTTTGAGGAAAAACTCAAGTTCTCATGGCTCATCAATATTTTACAAGGTTATCAATTAGCTGACCTGTAGTCTTGACACCGCAGGCCATGCCTGATTGGATTGCAATTAAAACATGGTATAAATCCATTAAGGGTAACAGCACAAGGGCAAGCAAAAATGCCAGCTCTGCTAAAAATTACATCAGAAATGGATTTATGCAAACAAGACTGGAAATAGATGACAACAGATCAAAATAAGAGGAGGACATGCCGATCTTTATGGGGTCAGACTGATATACACATTTGATTTTATTACTTTAAAACGTATAATCAGCATTTACACCAGCACCAAAATTTAATTTTATCCCTTGATTTTTCTAGCATAACCATTAAAATATACATATCTGCACATTTTAAATGTCTCTTTTTATTTATTTATTTTAGATTACTGTTATATTTCAGCTTTAGTTACTCTGGAAATCCTGACGATGAGAGTCCTAGCCAAAAAAGACAGCAGTGCAATCAACTAAGTTGCATAAACTAGACCACATGCACAAATATAAACAGAATAATACACAAATTAACTATACAAAAATACAGCTGGTGAAAATAAAGTACGACGACAACCAAAAATTTATAAACGTCAGCAGCAATGAAGCCTAAAACATCAATATTGTCTCACGCCAGAAACAAGGGTAATATTCAGGCAAAACATTTGCAGGATGAACGAACTGCATCCAAGTCATTTAAAATCGCCTTAGATTCATTTTAGTGTGACCACTTCCTTAAATTTTAGCTGATTGTATATAAAAGATGGACGCAACCACAGTGCGGTCACCCATTGGTTAGTGAAATGCTGGCTTGAAGCCTTAAGCTGGGCGCTCTCACTGCCACCATCAGACTTCACTTGTGCGTGGTGAGGATGGCAGCTCCAAACCGTACCCTGCTTTATCCTCCTTTTGGACTCTCATGGAGACTTTAAATTACAAAGTGAATGTCACGTTCTATTAGGTAAGACTTGAAATTTGCATCTGAGCCCACAAACTCATCAGAAAAGTGTTTAATGAGGTCATAGATCAAAGGAGCCAAAGGCGTGTTTTCCCACAGGCTGAGGTTTTGGAGAGACATGGCTGCTCACAATGTCACATCAACATGTGGTGCTGTAGGGTCAAGTGAATAAGACCCCGTTCACACCGGCCTTTTAAGAGGGGGAAAATGTGTATTCTCCAACCAGTTGCTGCAGGCTGATGGCAGGCACGATGGAATCTAGCGCTAAACTCTACATAGGCCTAGAGCTCTGGTTGGTGACCCATAGCAACCACCAGCAACCCCAACCAGTTGGCACAGACCTCCTTGCAGTTGCTTTGGTTGCCAGCAGAACGCCACAACTGCTGGTAATTTGCATGGAAAACGGCAAGTGGTCTGCAAACACTCATCAACAATCCTCAGAGCTGTAGCGAAGCTGTGAAAACAGCAACACAAACTAGAAGTTGCCTTCAAAGTAAAAGTTGCACCTTTTCAAATGTATTGGCTGCAGCACCGGAGTCAATCCTTTCTTCGAATGTGAACATTCTCTGTTTACGGTTTGCATCGCAGTTCTTTCAGTTTTCATTACGTGTTTGCAGACATGTTAGCATCTTCTATGCACAATAATGTAACTGCTGTCACTGAAGGTTTGCAAACCTATATGTCAAGTTTAATCCGTTCAGCCGAAAGAAAAATAAGATATTTTCAGGCACTTTAGTCAGCTGAGACAGATTTGTGTGCACATCATTT